TGTGATTTCCCCCACAGAACTCTCACCCTGAGTTGTGTTCTTTGAATATAAAAACCGTAGTCATCTGCGTGCAAGTGATTCTGGGATATGGTAGGGTGCGAAGTGTCCATCAGATGTACACTTAATTTTTCTGGGAAACGAAGGGCGCATTTGAAGTCGCTTTCGAAATACGTCAGCCTTCGTTGCGCCGTGGTGACGCAATCGGCCTTGGAATGCGGTCTTCGGAGGGTGCATTCTGAATTGGGTCAACTTCGGAGTCTGTGCACTTCAGTTTGGGACACAGCTTGCATGTGTCTGACAGTGCATCTGCATTGTGTGTAGTTCTTTTTCATTCTTCGTTTAGGGGTAAAAAGAAGTTTAAAATACGTGACCAGCGCTAGTTAGCGAACATCCCAGCGCCGTCCACGCTGTGTTGAGCGGAGTTTAGACGAATATGTAATTATGTGCTGCGAGCTTTCCTCTTGATAACAAAATAAACACATAAAATGACAGCGATGAGAAAGCGGCAAGAAAACATCTGATCATTATAGCGACATGGATATGTTTGCACCAGCTCTGCAATCGGCACTCCAGTAAAGTCACGTCACGTTTAAGCATATTTATATAGCAATTTATACAATAGGCTACTTTAAAGCAGCTGTGTTACAGTTACAATAAACTTTGACAGTATCGCTTTCGATTAGAATTACAACTTATTTTCTACTAGGCTATAAAGTAGATTAAGGCTGTTTTTTTAATTCATTATTATTTTATTTTTTTTATGTAACAGACTTTATTTGATTCTGTTATGTTGCACTAAGTCTGGATGTGCTCGTTATATGCACTCGTTATATGTGTGTGTAATGCATTTTTCCCCTCTGGGCTTGCCGTAGATAGGCATGGGTCATGCGTATTTGAGTACTAGAGTTTCATAGGTTTTTGGAGGAGTTCACTCTTTGGTGTGACAGATAATAAAAGTTTAGAAGAGTTCAGACGCTCTCGTAAATTTTTTTCCTTATCTATAAGTGTTTAGGCGAACCCAAAATGGATTAAATTAATTATTTTCCTCAAAATTCTACAAACAATACCCCATAATGAGTAATGACAATGTAAAAGAAGTTTGTTTGAAATCTTTGCAAATTTATAAAAAATATGAAGCGGGAAAAAAAAATCACATGTACATAAGTATTCACAGCCTTTGCCCAATACTTGTTGAAGCACCTTTGGCACCAATTACAGCCTTAAAGGGATAGTTCACCCAAAAATGAAAATTATGTTGTCATTTACTTACCCTTGTGTCGTTCCAAAGCTGTATGAGTTGCTTTCTTATGACGAACATAAAAGAAGATATTTTGAAGATTGCTGGTAATCAAACAGTTGGTGGTTGCCATTTACTTCCATAGTAGGAAAAAAAGTACTATACAAGTCAATGGCAACCACCAACTGTTTGATTACCAGTGTAACCCCTCTCTCCCGGGTCCTCACCGCCACAACTCGTTCTTGTTCTGAGTGGGTCTCGAACCCTGGTCTCCGGCATAGGAGGCGGACGCACTAACAAAGAGGCTAAAGACTGCAGCCTCTAGCCTCAGTCACTAGTGCGTCTCTTGAGATCAGGGGAGTGAGGTTTTACCTGCACAACACCTACTCTCTGGCCTCCGTTACACCAGCAATCTTCAAAATATCTTCTTTTATGTTCGACATAAGAAAGCAACTCATACAGGTTTGGAACGACATGAGGGTAATTAAATGATGACAATTTTCATTTTTGGGTGAACTATCCCTTTAAGTCTTTTTGAGTATGATGCTACAAGCTTGGCACACCTATTTTTGGGAAGTTTCTCTCATTCTTCTTTGCAGGACCTCTCAAACTCCATCAGGTTGGATGGGGAGCATCGGTGCACAGCCACTTTCAGATCTCTCCAGAGATGTTCAATCTGGTTCAAGTCTGGGCTCTGGCTGGGCCACTCAAAGACATTCACAGAGTTGTCCCGTAGCCCCTCCTTTGTTATCTTGGATGTGTGCTTAGGGTCGTTGTCCTGTCGGAAGATCAACCTTCGCCCCAGTCTGAGGTCCAGAGTGCTCTGGTGCAGGTTTTCATCAAGGATGTCTGTCCATTGCTGCAGTCATCTTTCCCTCGATCCTGACTAGTCTCCCAGTTCCTGCCGCTGAAAATCATCTCCACAGAATGATGCTGCCACCACCATGCTTCACTGCATCACCATGTTTCATCAGACCAGAATAATTTTGTTGCTCATGGTTTGAGAGTCCTTCAGGTGCCTTTTGGCAAACTCCAGGCGGGCTGTCACGTGCCTTTTGCTGAGGAGTGGCTTCCGTCTGGCCACCATACAGGCCTGATTGGTGGAGTTCTGCAGAGATGGTTGTTCTTCTGGAAGGTTATCCTCTCTCCACAGAGAAATGCTGGAGCTCTGTCAGAGTGACCATCAGGTTCTTGGTCACCTCCCTGACTAAGGCCCTTCTCTCACGATCGCTCAGATTGACCGGGCAGCCAGCTCTAGGAAGAGTCCTGGTGGTTCCAATCTTCTTCCATTTACGGATGATGGAAGCCACTGTGCTCATTAGGACCTTCAATGCAGCAGAAATGTTTCTGTAACCTTCCCCCGGTCTGTGCTAGTGATGTTAGGTTCTTGAACAAATCGATCTTTTGAGCTGGTTCTCAGGAAGTAACCGGTCGAGCCGGTTCACAAATCGAACTGAATCGAACTTTAGTTCCGGGTTGATGCTCTGTAATGTGTGCTGTAGGTGTGAACCTTTTAGGAATCTTATCCGAGTTGTAGGCTAGTCAATACTGGTCAGTCAGTCGTATCTGACAAAGGTTCTGCGACTGATACTGTGACCACAAACACCATTAACTTAAGTGAATTATGTGGTAATCAGCAATATGCTTTCACACAAATAACCTTATTTTTGGAATGTTTCAATGTGTTGACACAAATGACTTATTTGAATTTTTCATTGATACATTGCACTGAGTTGTTAGAAAAGAAATGCGTAGAGACGTTATTGCTTGATGACATCAGGAACCGATGAATCTGCTTTTTGAACTGGTTCAATGAACCAATCTGTCCGAAAAGAACCGGTTCGCGGAAATGAATCAGACTTTGCATCACTAATCAGTGCCTCGATACAATCCTGTTTCAGAGGTCTACAGATTCCTTGGACTTCATGGCTTGGCTTGTGGTCTGACATGCACTGTTATCTGTGGGACCTTATATAGACAGGTGTGTGCCTTTCCAAATTATGTCCAATCAACTGAATATACCACAGGTGGACTCCAATCAAGTTGTAGAAACATCTCAAGGATGATCAGTGGAAACACGATGCACATGAGCTCAATTTTGAGTGTCATGGCAAAGGCTGAATTTTGAGGAAAATAATTAATTTAATCCATTTTGGAATAAGGCTGTAACATAACAAAATGTGGAAAAGCGAATCACTGTTAATACTTTCTGTGTGCACAGGTCAAGGCAAATTTGCTTTCTCATGTCATGACCCCTTTAAGTCTTCATGTAAGGACCAAATATTAGCTTCTGTCAAGTTCGTTTTGTGATATAGTTAGTTTTCTTTCATTTTCCCCTAGCTTCAGAGAGCATGTTAAAGGGCCCGGGAGTGGAAAAGCGACACACGTTGTTTGTAAAGAGAGCCTAGTAATATATGCTTATTAAGGCATTTGTGTCCTGAAACATTCTGTCATTGTTTGATGAGTATACTGATGCTGGCAAAAGAGTTTACAATTTTATAGGAGAGTTATTTGAGATACTTAAAGTGTTTGTACACAGTTTATTTTTCAGCATTACTGTTTGATTACTGCAATGTTAATGTAAGTGAGTTGCAGTTTTTATTTGGTGAAATACATTGTTGTCATTTTTTGACATTGTGTATATCAGGAAATTGTGTAATGTGAGTTTATTGAACAAGGGTTTTACTCATATATGAAGAAGTTACACTGCCAGTTATTTCAACACACTGTGAAATGAAGTCTAATTTCTTGCTGTGTTTGTTAATTTAGCAGAGTGTGACAGTAATAAAAGACCATCCCCCGGTTTCACAGACAAGGCTTAAACCTAGTCCCAATTCAACTATTGCCTAGTCCTGGCTTGGTCTAAGCCCTGTCTGTGAAACCAGGCCCATATGTACCACCAGAAAAAGAAATCTACCTCTTCTGTGTCGGCAACAAATAGTTTGATAATGTTAGTGATGTTGGTGCACCTGCAGCGTCTTCACACACACCTGAGGCAGCTGAAAAAAACTAAAGTGTTCATTTTGTCAATGTCATTTTTTATTTTTTTTCCCCAGTCTATTTTATCATGAGAGTTAGAACAAAGACATGTTTATCTGGTAAAGTAAGTTACCATATTAATATGGAGAAAAAAAAAAAATAATTCAAAAAACAACAGTTGCTTTAGTGTTTTGCAGCATGTTTTTTAATGCTTCATTTATCTTTGAATGCTCTAAGCCGTGGAAATATGGCAAACAAAATGTGGTACATGATTTATATAATATACTCAATGTATCGCAATTAAATGCAAGAACAATTAACAATACAGTCAAATAATACCAAAATAATTATTTGTGTAAAATAATAATTATAAGCGCACAAGTCATTAATCTGATGAAGAATATTCTCCTCTTCTATGTTTATGAGAATATTTGTCTTTTAATACTTCAGTTTCAGAATTGACTTTAATTTTTGACATTAATTAATTTACCCTTAAAGCACTAAAACAAATCTAATACTCACCCAAATGAATGCTTAAACTAATAGAAGTCTATTAAAAAATAATCCATAAACAAGTTTGCACCTCTATGCTATTGGAAACAAAATCTTATATATAGCAGAAATATAGTAGTTTATAGTACAGAATGATCACAAAATCCTAACCCCATACATCACACATTATATTGTTTGGGTCAGTACAAGAGCTTAGACATATTGCTTTCTGTTTTTTTTTCTGTTTTTTTCTTTATATATATATACATATTATTTTTATTTTTCATCATAAAAGCTCACAGACAAATTAATATGATTATGCGTGAGTCTGACTGGTGGTGTATTTAAATCTGGTCTCTTTCACCTCTGGATGATTTTTTCTTCTTTTCTTTAGAATTGACTCTCTTGTTTCTTTAATTGCCTTCAAGACAGCACAAAGCTCTTTATGTGTTTTCCTCATCTTTGCGATGGACTTGAGCACACTAGATTTGACCTTTTCTGGATCATCTATGTTTCCCTGTTGTCTGATCTCATGAATCTCTTGAGAATCTTTCGCTATGAAGATGCCATCAACAATGACTAACAGTCCACTTAACACACCTGAAACTGCCACTGCTGCACGTCCTAATTTGGCAGCCTGAGCACCAACTCTGCCAACATTTACCAACAGACATGCAAGTTCTGCAGCAAACACTGCTGTACTTCTCCCTGCCCTCCATGATATTTTCACATTATCAAATGTTAAGTAACTGACAAAATCACTGAACTTTGTGATTTTTCTCAGAAGACTCAGTGTTTTTGGTGAACTGAAAATTAGAGCACCTTCATTTTTGCATATTTGCTCCATTTTTTTTAGGCTCTCACTGAGTGATTTTTGTTTTACTGTATCTGTAATGTTGGATGCAGCACCTGTTACACCACCTGCAACACTGACTCCTATACCAACGCCTGTGACAATCAGAGATGCTCCAAGAGTGAAAGGTGCCAGAATTGCACCAACCAATGCAGTGATTCCTCCAGTTGCTCCAATGACTGCACCTGACAAACTGCCTATAGTGCATTTACGATGTATCTCCTCTAGTGAATCTGCTGTTTTTTCCATTTCATTCAGAAAGGCCTCTGAATGTTTGTAGGCCTCATCAAAGTTCTCAGTGGACTTCATGAATCTTTCTTCAAGTTGGTCTGGAATTCTCCTGTTTCTGTTCACTGCATCTTTCAGGAATGGTTTTGCCAAAATCTCATTAGCTGAAGGTCTGTCTTTAGGGTCACAGCTGAGCATTTGACTGATTATATTCTTTAGATCTTCTGAATATGTCTCAGCAATTGTGGGGGTGATTCCTGTCATGCTGGAGACATGTAGAAAGCGACGTTGTATGGGATTTGACTGTCAGATACAGAAAATATAAAAAGGAAAATCTGGTTAAACTTGTATTATGCTAATATGGTTAAAATTCTGCACACTGAGAATATATACATATACGCCTAAAATGTATAATTGCAGAAAAAATATATATGTTGTATTGAACATTAATGGAGCAACATATTTTGTGTGAAAATAAATCATTCAAGTTGTTTATTTTGTTTAAATATCTTATAAATGTATGAGGTGGCAAGAGGGGCCTTTTACCCCACACATGGGGTAAAAGGCCCACAGTATTGATACAAATACCTCAGCTAAAATAATGTTTTTTTTTTGTTTTTTTAATATTGTCTATGTTAATACTTGTTCAAAACAATCACTTTAGCAAAGTTTGTACTATTTTTTGCTTATTTTGAAAAATATAATAATTATTTATTTTCAATAAATATACTGTCAATAAAATGTTAATATAAAACAATATATTTTAAAATACAGAAACAAAACCGTTTTAATAAGTAAAGATTCTGAAAGTATTGAAGGAGATCCAATAATAATTGAATATATATATATAATTGAATATATATAGTCACAACAAATGATATTTTATTATATGATATGATTAATATCATGTTTTTAAATATGATGGTTTCATTCTAAACATGGTGATTATCTCTAATATGGACACCCAACATAATATATGATATTTACCATCTGAATGTCAACAAATGAAAAAGTCAGCCATCTGTTAATTATCATGTTAATTACTGTGCGCCTTTAGCCCCAACAGCAGGGGCGCTTTTTACCCCAAATACCATACTTTTACATATTATTTCGTTATTTAAAAACTTTAATAATAAAGAAGACATTTGTCTCAAAATATATGCATTAATTTTAACGATTCTCGTATGCTACTTAAATTTACAACATTTAAAAAAAAACATCAAATATTAGATTAAGTAAGCACAGAATCAACTTTGCGCTGCTGCGCGCGGTCGCGTCAAGAATCAAACAAACTACACATGCATCTTGAAAAGCGGATGTTTTGGAAAGTGCTACGCCACGTTTTTGTGCCATGTAGTGGTTTAGATTAAAATAATATCAAAGGCGCCTTTAGCCGTGTTGTACCATATATATATATATATATATATATATATATATATATA